TACTTTTTTATGAAGCTAATTGTTATTATTGTTATTGAATAGAATGCATCGTTTTTTTCGCTGATTTGAATTTATAATTCGAGTTTTATTACAGTAAAAAGCTTTCAAAAACAGTCACATCTAATTTTTTTATTACAGTAAAAAACTCTCACACAACATTACATCTCAACTCGAATTAAAAACTCGAATTAGCGAACCGAACGGACCCATATTTCGACACTTGGACTTTGGAGATATAAATTACAAATTTTTTTTTTCTTTTTTGAGGGGCATTATATGTGCAAAAAGGTTGCATAGAGAAACAGAAGGCTCATTGAAAATGTTTTGAGTTGAGAGAAAAAGAATTCAATTTTCTGTAGAGATAAAAAGAAGATAGGGAAGTTTCTTTCGTAGTCTACGCTATTAGTAGTCTTAATTTGAATTGATTAAAATCACATCAGATTAAAAAAAATATGCAGAATAGATAAATTTTAATAAATCTAACAATTAAAAAGTATAAGGCTATCGAAAATTTCTAAATATAAATGTTTAGTACCATTTTTTTTTTAATTATATCTTGAGATCAGATTCAAGCCTTTTCTTATGCTGTGATGGATTTTACAAGTCTTGGCCTCTTTGATGTTAAATGCCCACTAGAATCCGCTGAAAGGAAGCCCTGATATCTGGAACGAGACTCTGTCAAAAAGCAGCTATTTTTTACTTTTAGTAGTTGTTAGGAAATAAAAAGAGAGAAAAATCTTTTCGGAAAATGCTCCTAGTGGCCAAGTAATCTCGAATATATTAATGGATGTTTAATTTATAGATTTAAAATTATAATTTAAAATTATTCTCTATTTATGTATATTTTTTATGAAAAAAATACTGTAATGAGTCACGAATCATAATACAAATTCTCGATTTAAGAATATTGCTTGAAATTTTAGGAAATGAATATATCAAGACAAAAAAAAAAAAAAAAAACTTTTGGTGCATATGTATGCATATATACCTTTTTTCTATATAAAAGAGCCTCAGTTATACCTTTTCTTCTACTTTTTTTTTTCTTTACTAACCTTGACCAAAAAAAAATCATGGCACATGATGAACAATGAAACTAAAACAAAACTTGTGAGGTGTAATTAAAAGGGTAAAATTAAACTAAGAAAAGTTATTTTATTTTTTGTAAACTTGTAAAATTTCACCTTTCTACTTTAGGTTATCCAAGATTTCTTCTATTACCTGTATCGTTTCATTTCTATGAACATTATAGATAAATAAAATGAAAAATAAGCAGCAAATATTTTAACTTTGTTGTCGTTCAAGATATTTACCTTAGTTTCGTATTATTATTATTTGATGTCGTTTCTATGTTTCAGTGTCGTTGGTTAAATTTTACAAATATAAACTTAAATTTCCTCTAAATTCATATATATATATATATATATGTTTTCCTTTTTTTTTTCTTTTTCTTGAGAAAACATTCTAATGTTTCTTCCAAAACCTATCCAAATTTTTTAACGCCAATTAACGTAAAATATTACTTGTCATTTTTTATTTGTGGACGTTAAAAATTTATCATATCGATTAATATTGAAAAATTACATCTGTTAATAGAAAAACAACAACGCGTTTATAACTAGAGCTAATATAAACAACCAAAATCCCTAGAACTATTCATTTCTTTACACACATATATATTGCTTCATATATATATATATATATATTTGCTAAAGTCTTGTATATCCTATTTTAAAAATACATTATGGCCCATTTAGTTCGCTGATCTAAATTTTTAATTTGAGTTGAGATGTGACGTTATGTGAGAGCTTTTTACTATAGTAAAACTCGAATTCTAAACTCGAATCGGCGAAATGAACTGCCTACATCTTTCTTAATCACATAAGATAATAGAATTTGTGAAGATAGGGTAAAAAAGTGTACAGTATGCGGTAATTTGTTGTTGGTGCCTACGTGTTGCTACATGAAGAGAATACTATGAAAATATAAACTACATGTATTTTTTAGATATCATTTCAGTAATTCTTGTTGTATTATTATTCCCCAATTTGATAATGACACTTGAGTTATGGTGGTTTATCCGCTATGTGACATGTCCATGCTATATTTAAATCATATTTGATTGTAATGTATTCTTTATTATTATTTTTAGTTCCATTAGTCCAACATTTGTGTAAGAATTATGTGATCCACGTAATAAAATAATAGTCTATTAATATTATTTATTTAATAGTTTAATAATTATTTTAATTCTAAAATTTTATTGGCTATGAGCGGTTACAACTCTTATTAAGAGATGTGTCTACATATTATGAAGAGATGTGTTTACATATTATGAAGAGATGTGTGCTTTGATGGAAGATACTGATTCATAGTCTATAAAATAAGAGTCTAGTCCCCTCTCCACCCAATTTTATTGATATCTGTTCTCTCCATCAGAAAATACGTTTAAGAAAAGTTACCGAGGGTTTAGAGATAGAAACTTAAATTCTACTTCTCCTTCAAACTCTTTGTATGATCTTCTTCAAAATCAAAATAATGAGTCAAGGTATGCTATAGTTATAATTCTGTGAGAGTCATGATGTTTTAAGATTTCTGAATATTATAGATTTAAAGTTTTATAATTTGCTTAATATATGCCTTCATGAAAAGGTTTTTGGCTTTGTCATTGTTTACGGTGCAGTTCTAATCACTCTTTGTCCGGTGAGAGAAATATACAAAAATATCAAAAACAGAAAAAATGAGAGAGAACAAGTAGATATAGAGAGAAAGAGTGGAGTTGAAAAAAAAAAAGCCCTTTTTTTAACACCACAATTTGGTCGAACTAGTCTCAAATTACAATTACAGTAACTAAATTACATAAATACCACAATTAGCTCGCACAATACATACTTTGCTTTCCAAAAGGTCAAAAAAAAAAAAAAAAGTCAAAAACTACTTTGAAAAAAAGTTTGACCTCTAGTGACTTTTTAACTACGGGAGTGATGTGGGGACTTAGAGATGCCAATAAAAATAAAATGGACGTTTAGAGACTCATTTATCTAAATTTTTAAATGCGAATAGAATTCATTATTGGACACCAATAAACACCACAACTAATAAAAAGAAAATCATTTAGAGCTTATGTTATGAGAACCATCTTTATTGGTTAAAACTTTCTAATCTAATTAATATAATTACCAAAAAATGAAAATGATAATAAAAAATATCCCACCAACATCATCGGAGATGCTTGGCGCTTCGCCACTCATGCGGAGGAGGTCGCCACCCATCCACCTTCATGTCTCACAGCGGTATGAACACAAGTGACACGATCTCCTCCACTGCGCGATCTCCTCCACAGCACGACAATGATTGCGAAATCATGACCTCCATCGGTTAGGGTCACGACCAACGACGGAGCAACCCCGCGGGTGGGTTGCCTAACGACGGAGCGACCACTCATGACCCACCGCCTAGGTGACCCCACTTATCGAGCTCTGAATCTTTTCAGACTTGGGTCACCAGCGACGTCCTTACACCGATGGTGGTAGAGGAGCTCGGATTTCCCCCTTTATTTTTCTTTTTAAATTTATAAACATGAGATTATAATCATTTTCGATTTACGTGTATTTTTTATGAGAGAAAATACTGTAGCGAATCATGAATTATGATTCGAATCAGAAAACGAATTCTCTAACTAAATGGACTCTAAATTTATGGGTTTAAATAAATTTAAAGTATGGAGATGCACTGAACATGGTGAGCTTATTTGTTCCTAACGGTTCGATGCATACATAATGGGCAAAAAGAATGCGTTGCCGTACTGTAGTTGTCCCAAAAAAAAATGTTATAAACAAAACGTAAAGTCAAATGATATGACCATGAGTTTCAATCCGCTCCAACTGTTGTTCCTACCACCGCCCCTAACGGCTAGTTATTTGAATATTTTTAATGGACTAATCTATCCTCGCACGTGATTCGATTGACAGGCAGCATAAATCCAAATGATAATGACGTGGAGCTGCTTTTTCCTCATTTTTGTCCCGCAAACATAACAATATGAAGCTAAAATGTATTCCCGAAAAAATTCCTATGAATCAAGAAAAAAAAATCGAAGTCTTATTTATTTTACCAATTTAAATTTTTAATGTTAAGTTTTTACAGTTAAAAATTATTAAAAAATGTCATATATAACTTTTTTTACTACGTTAAAAGTTTTTAAAAAATATTATATCTCAACTCAAATTCTTAAAGCGAACGAGATTCAAATCTCTTTTTTATGTGGCTGCCCTTTACTTTTTTTTTTCTTTTTGTATCTTTATTCTTTTATGAATATTTTTAATATTTTAATTTTTTGTATACCTTTTTAAAATATATTTTCCCTCACGTTACTTATATGAGAGTAATTTTTTTACATGTGATGCTATTTTATTTTTAGTTGGTTAAAATAATTTTTTTTTCAAATGTATTCTTACTTAATTTTTTTTTATCAATTGTTATTTTTACACACATTTCTTTTTAAAATAAATTCAAAAATCCTTATATGGTTGTATAAATGAATTTCTCATTATTCAGTAAATAATAAAATCTTCAGTTGTCTCCAACACGATAATATATGTGGAGCACGTTATAAAACTAGTTCTTAAAGAAAAAAAGCCAATATTCTTAGAGACCTTTTCCGGTAGGCCGACTTATCGAAGGATTAGTTTTTGACCGTTGAATCTAGTCAAAATCACATCAGATCGAAAAAATATGCAAAACAGACAATTTCTAATATAAATCTAAATGTTGAAAAATAGAGAACTACCTTTAGGTCATTTTTTCGGTCATACTGAAGAAATTTCCATATTTTTAAAGCACACAATAAATTCATTTATTTAAAAAGCCAAGATGTGCCAAAAAAAAAGAAATGCAAAATAAAAGAGAGGGGGATTTTGGGTATTTGACATAGATAATCGTCTTAAAAAGAAGTTTAAAAACCGCCGAAGAAAATATTAAACAGACGCAACGGTCCATTTCTTCTTCATCCACCACTTTCGAATTCAAACTCTGTACAGTTCTCTCTCTCTCTCTCTCTCTCTCTCTCTCCTCTCTTTCTCTCTCTATCTCGCTCAAAGCCTTCATCTTCTTCTTCTTCTTCTTCGCGACGATGAGGTCCAACAACAGCACAGAGGCCAGTTCGGAGACTCGGTTTCTCGGAAACATCTCGGCCTCGTCGATCCGAAACCTACTTCCGAGATCCATGTCCGCAAAGAAGAAGTCCAACTCTAATCTCAGAATCTCCAAATCGAACGCAGAAAACACTCCGCCCATCGATCGAAACATCATCAGCGGCGGCCAGGTCTCGCCTGTCGCCGTGAAGAAACCGCTTTTGGATGTTTCGAAAACGCAGCTGGAGCTCGTCCGATCGGAAGTTAAGGCCGAGACGCGAGCGTCTGTGGATTCGGATCCACCAGTGAAGGTACTTAAAGAAGTTGTGATTTTGCCAATTTTGTAAATTTTTTTTTGATTAATTTGTATACATCGGTGTAATTGCTTCGTTCCTTAAATTGCTTTAGGTTGTTGTGAGAATTAGACCTCCTAATGGTAGTGAAAGAGTGAAAGATCGAACTTTGAAGAAGGTTTTGCCTGATATGGTAACGGTTGGAGATCGGAAATTTACCTTCGATTCGGTTTTCGATTCAAAAGCCAACCAGGTACTAGCCTCAATTTTTGTGCGTTTTAGAGAATTTGGGTTTCATTTCATAGTATAATCTGAATAGTGCCCTATTTAGCTGCGTATAAAGTATAATGAGAGAACAGAAATGGAGAAATTAATTACTGAGATTTCAAATTACGCTTAATACAACTAATTTTTGTGCGTTTTATTTTAATTAGAAAGGTTTAGGTTTTATTTGGAACTATAATCAGCATTCGGTCCTATATTGCTGCACAGAAAGTATAATGCAAGAGCATAAAGTCGGATATGAATGGAGAAATAAGGTTTCCAATAAATCATGTTACTACAACTAATCGGAGTGTTATAGCTTAGGTAGGAATGTTTAAAGAGCTAGATTGGTTTTATTTTGGAACTATAATTGGAATTCTGCGCTATTTTTTCTGCATAGAAAGTATAATGCAAGAACATAATTTTGGATATTAATGGAGAATCATGATTTCCAGTAGATTTGTTTCATTTTGGTCGGAGTGTTTAGCGTGATGGGAGATGGAACAACTCAAGAAGTTGTGTTACTAAGTTTGTCTATAGAATCAAAGAGGTATATGGAGTTTTGACTCTTGGTTATTGTGTTCATAACAGGAAGATGTTTTTCAATGTGTTGGTGTCCCATTGGTTAGGGATGCTTTAGCTGGTTACAACACTTCCATTGTGTCATATGGCCAGGTATTCAAGGATTTATTGTCATGGATTTTTTCATTTGAGCTTGAGTTTGTAAACCAGAACTTTCTAATGTTAGTAATTATTTGGAATTCTGACCAGAGTGGTAGTGGAAAGACCTACACAATGTGGGGTCCACCAAGCGCCATGGTTGATGACCCTTCTCCTCTTAGTTCCCAGGGCATTGCTCCTCGTGTCTTCCAGATGTTATTTTCTGAGATTGAGAAAGTAAGATTTGTTTCTATGTTTTTTCCATCCCTGAAATTGGTACTTTATGGAAGAATACTTTGAAGTGTGGTTAATAAGTATGATTTGTATTGTCTCGTGTAGGAGCAAAATAATTTTGATGGGAAACAGATAAATTTTCAATGCCGTTGCTCTTTTCTTGAGGTATGTATTTTTCTTTTCCTTCACTTTTTGAAGGGCTGTTCATTGCTCCAATATTAATGTTATATTAATGTTCTTGTTTAACATGTTCACATCACAGATATACAATGAACAAATAGGGGATTTGATTGATCCGACCCTGCGGAATCTCGAGGTCAAGATTTACTTCCTCATAGTTATTACATTGATTCATTCATGTCTAAATTTTGCTCTTAATTTTCTTTCCTTTTTTTTTGGGGGTTTATGAGCATTACGCAAAATGTTGTAATGAACTTTGTCTAAATTCTTACAGATTAAGGATGATGAAAAAAATGGATTGTATGTTGAGAATTTGACAGAAGAATACGTGACTGGCTATGAGGATGTTGAGCAGATTTTGATTAAGGTGAAAGGTCCACTTTATTTTCTGCATTTAATAGAGTGATTGGCATGTCTAATTGTAGTGCTTTTTGGGAAAGCATACGTCTAATCTCTTGGTTAATATTTTTTTTCGCCTAGGTTTTTTTACTAATGTGCTTAAATCCATGGAGGCTTATTTTTTTTTTTCTTATTTTCTCTGAATATGCAGGGGCTTTCAAGTAGAAAAGTTGGAACAACTAGTGTGAATTCGAAAAGCTCTAGGTCCCACATTGTTTTTACTTTTATCATGGAGTCCTGGAGTAAGGTATGACTTGATGTGGAGTTTGCTTTCAGTTACCAATAAATTTAATTGTTCTGTATCTCATCTTTGATTGTGATTTGTGATAAAAATCTAGAACTTTAGTAATTCAGTCCATATGGAACATGACATTCTATATTGTTTTGCAAATGATTTTCAATTAAACATCGGACTACTTGAATACCGCAGTTCCAAAATTTATATATCATCTGCTCGTGCTTGTATCAACAATTTTCTACAGGATACCACATCGAAGTGTTTTGGTTGTTCAAAGACAAGCAGAATCAACCTTGTTGATCTTGCTGGTTTAGATAGGAAAAAAATTGATGTTGCCGGTACTACAAAGGAAGGGAAAAGTGTAAAGAAGTCCTTGTCGCGGCTTGGGTATGAACATAAAAACTTGGCACTTGTTTCATTGTAGATTGGAGATTATTAGTAGTATGGAGTGGTAGTACACATACAACGACTACAGTTTCTTTATCACATTCTTTTCCTTTTCCAAACAGCATTTTTTATATGGCTTGTCAGTGTCACATTGGATTTTATTGAGCTTGCCTACAACATTTTTATATTCCCGGTCTTGTTTATTGCAGACATTTGGTAAATACTCTGGCAAAAGAACCTCAGTCTGGCAAGCCTGAAGATGCTCTATACAAAGGTTCCTGCTTAACACACTTAATGCGAGAATCACTTGGTGGCAATTCTAAACTCACAGTGCTCTGTGCCATCTCCCCCGATAACAAGTATTCTCTCTTAGCCATTTTTTCTCATAAACTTCTCTTAACAAACACAAGCGCACTAAGAAACTGGACGCGAACATAAATATGGCTCTGCAGTAGCACTATTCTGAAGCATTAGGAGGCAGAATCTGATGTGCTGGTTATGTTGTTTTCGTATTGTTCTTAATTCTTTTGATACTTTGCATGACACCAAATATGTCTTTCATGAAAAAAGGCTCAATGTTTATGCTTTTTAAATGCAGCAATGATGGAGAAATACTTGGAACATTGCGGTTTGGAGAACGAGTGAAATGTATTAGAAACAAGCCAGTGATAAATGAGATAACAGAGGATGATGTTAATGATTTGAGTGACCAAATTCGTCAGCTGAAGGTGATACTACGCAGCTTTGTTTTGATTATACCTAAAAGGTTAATCAAAAGTTGAGGATTGTTGCTAACGTGGTCTTTTTGTTGCAGGAAGAACTTATTAGAGCAAAGTCTAGTGCAAACTCAGTTGCAAGTAAGCACGGGCACTTTCAAGGAAGGAATGTACGTGATAGCTTGAATCTGTTAAGAGTGAGCCTTAATCGCTCATTACTATTACCTCCCATAGACAACGAATCTGATGAAGAGGTAAATATTGATGAGGATGATGTCAGAGAACTACAACAGCAGCTAGAAAAGTTGGGTAAATCTTGTGAAGAGAATTTTAGAGACCAAAAATCCAGCGATGGAGATTCCGCCCAGTTGGTTGAAAGTGGTGAGACAGATCTGATGAGTGAAGATGATTTAGATGGTCCAGAAGAAACAGAAATTGAAGAAATCAGTCTTGAAAAATCTGAGAATGAGCTTCATAAGGAAAACATAGCATTGACAGATGACATTCGAGGTTCCCCAAACAGCTTGAGGGCTATTAATTCCGAATTCAGAAAAAGCATTTCAATTAGCTCATGCAAGCCTGCAATCCTCCAAGAGCCAATGTTGACGGAGTCTCCAAAAATCGGAAAAAACCTTAGGAAAAGTGTGGTTATTTCATCAAGCTATCCAGTCACTACAAACAATGTTGCAGAGGATTCCAACGCTAAATCAGACGAATTGAGACAGTCTATCCGGTCTTCTTTGCGTTCAAGCAAGATATTTCCAGGTCCTGCAGAGTCGTTGGCTGCAAGCCTTCAAAGGGGCTTGGATATCATTGATCACCATCAAAGGAATTCCGCATCAAACAAATCTACAGTTTCTTTCTCTTTTGAGCATTTGACACTGCAACCATGTCCGGAGGTTGATAAAACTAGTTCTCCTGAGAAGACATTCCTTTGTGCATCTTGCAAAAGACAAGTCCACAATAAAGACTCTGACGAGGTCCAGGATAGTTTAAAGACATGGATTGTACCAGTCAAAGAAGCAGGAAATTCTGAGCAGATGACAGAGGAAGTAAAAAAGGTATCTATATTGAGCTCATTTCTAGCGACTAATTTTTGATTCAGTACATCATTTGTTTACATATTGTTTTTCCTTTTCCTTTTTTTTTTTTTTTTTTTTTTTTTTTTTTACATTTTTTTTTCTCAACAGGATGCAAAGAACTTAATGGAAGAAGTTGCAAAGAGAGAGGAGCTTGAAAATCGCTGTATGGAACAAGCAGCCAAAATTGAGCAGCTGAATCAATTGGTACTGTTTTTCTTACTCTTGGAACTGGATGAATTGTGAGTTGTACAATAACTTGGATCTTACATGATTTTTTTAATCTGCAGATTGAGCAATATAAACGTGAGGGTCACAATTCTAATTCAGAAAACTGTCAAGATATCAGTACTCCTGGTTTTGTGTCTACAACGAATGAAATAATATCCTTTGAGGAGTCTAGAAATGAGGAAGGTCATTCGTCCAGGGAAGAAAAAACGGTACTAATGATTATTTTAAATCAATTCTTACCCTTTCAAGTGCTGAAAGTTTTCTTACACTAGTTGATGGTGTTTTGATACAGCTTTTAAGGTGCATTTCTGACAATAATCATCAGCCAGAGATTATAAAAGAGAACTATGAAATAAAGGAAGTTCAGAATGAATCAGTTTTTGATGTGAACGAGAAGGAAGCACTTCTTAAGGAGATTCAAATGTTAAGAAGCAAGCTGCAGTTGCAAACTGAAGCATGTCCTACCAAGTCTACTGAAAAATTGAGGTCATCATTATTGTCACGATCCATCCAACTGCGAAAAAGTGCCATCTTCCAAAACAATAACGATGAAGAACTTGAGAAAGAAAGACAAAGATGGACAGAGATGGAAAGCGAGTGGATTTCCTTAACCGAGGATCTCAGAATTGATCTTGACATGCATCGTAGACGAGCAGAGAAAGTGGAGATGCAATTGAATTCACAGAAGGAGTGCACCGAAGAGTTAGACGACGCACTTAACAGAGCTGTTCTTGGTCACGCTAGAATTATTGAACACTATGTTGAGCTTCAGGAGAAGTACAATGACTTGGTTACAAAACACCGCGCTATCATGGAAGGGATAGCAGATGTGAAGAGGGCAGCAGCCAAGGCAGGAAAGAAAGGTCAGGGTTCTCGTTTCGCTAAATCTCTCGCTGCGGAACTCTCTGCAATGAGAGTGGAAAGGGAGAAGGAGAGGGAGATTTTGAAGAAAGAAAACAGGAGTCTCAAGATTCAACTTAGAGATACTGCAGAAGCTGTTCACGCTGCTGGTGAACTCCTAGTTAGGCTTAGAGAAGCTGAACATGCATCTTCAGTTGCAGAGGTAACTCATTTCTTACGCAAAGAAATCTATATGTTTGGAAATTCATTCTTGATAAGGGCATATTTGTTAGTCTCGTCTTTAGGAAATACTCACATGGATAAACTTTAACGTTAAATATGTGTGTGTGTATATATATCATACAATATATAAAGCTAACTTCGGGGACAACCACACATATTGGATACTTAACGTGGTTTCTACCATTGAGAACAGAGAATTGGGAAATATCAAATGGATGGTTTTTGATGTCCTTGTTTGTTTGGAAATTCATGCTTTATCAGGCATCTTTTGTTAGTTTCTCAACTTTAGGAAAGACTTACATGGATTAAATCCAATGTTAAAAAAAATATACATTATGGCCGCTTGAGGTAGTACCCGGTAGAAGTACCGGTTAGTGCTTGGGAGGACATTCTTATACCTAATATTAGGAGAAGGAGAAGTAGACCAATAATTATGTGGACCGAAGTTGTTAGGAAAGACATTCTAGATTTAAGTATTGAGGAAAGTTTAATTTCGAACAGAGCTGTGTGGAAAAGTAAAATCCATATAGCCGACCCCAATTAAATTGTGATTAAGGTACCCCAATTAAATTGTGATTAAGGTTTGTTGTTGTTGTATATCTAACTTCTGGGACAACTCCATATTACATAATTAAGGTTTTTAATCTTCGAGCATAGAGAATGAAAATTACTATGGCATCATATGTGGGATGATCTTGATATTCTGGTGCCTTGTTCGCAGGAGAACTTTGCGAATGCGCAACAAGACAATGAGAAGTTGAAGAAGCAAATGGAGAAGTTGAAAAGAAAGCACAAGATGGAGATGGTGACCATGAAGCAGTACATGGCAGAGAGCAGATTGCCAGAATCTGCACTACAACCACTCTACAGGGAAGATTCGGACATACCACAAAGCACAATCCCGGATGATGACCAGGCCTGGAGAGCGGAATTCGGAGCCATATATCAAGACCACCATTATTGACTCTGCTCAAAAGCTCGGAGGAGTTTAGCTCCATGAAATGAAAGTTGCACAATTCTGTTGTTTGTTTTGATTTGATTTGATTTGCATGGCGCACCCTACTTGGGTTCATGCTTATTACATGCAACTGTGTTGTTACTTTCGTCTTATATTCTTTCGGTGTATGATTCTTTGGTTTGGTTGTGATTAACTTTCTTAGAAGGCAGATGAGATTGCAATGAGTATTGAGGATAATAATTTGTTTGAATTTGCAGTACATGACATAAAATTTCAAGTTATTAAGGTTTGGAGTTTGGACATGGTTATTTCCATTTTTTTAATTTTTTTTATTGAATAGGCTTTTAAAAAAAAGGTCATAATGACGTGTGTGATATGTCCCAATTAATCGCACGCTCTCGTTTTGGTTTTCCTTCTAATTAATTTTTTGATTAGTTTTTATTATTTCTATGTTTTGGACTTCACCTGTAGTTTTTTTCTCAGACTATTGTTCTTCTTCTTGTAATTCTTCTTTGAATTCTTTTTTTTTTTAATTTAAACCTATTATTTAGGTTTAATACCATAAGATGTGTTTGAACTTCATTAATTTTATCGACTAAGACGACTGCTCCCAAAGATATAGAAGAGTCCCTGACCTGCTTTGAATATTTTATTTATTTATTTAGTTTTTAAGTATCGACACCAACACTAAACTCCTAAACGACACCAGCTTATGAGGTTCTTTACTTCAGAAGAAACAGCCCCAAAACGACTCCAGCACTAAACCCATGTTCCCAAAATGACTGCTAATTATTAGACCATTAAGGGGACCGATCACCCATATAAAATATATTGTCAAATCACAGTGTCCAATTGACATTGCTTTTAAAAAGTGTTTTTAGATTTTTTTTTTTTTTAAATAAGCTAAAAGAGGTAGGGATATTTGGTAAATTCTTTTTTTTTGTTTAGCATCTTCTATAAATTACCGCTGAATAACCGAATTTGAGAAGCATGTTATGAAATTCTTTTGCACAACTGCTGCTTCTGTTTGTCATTGTCCAAATTTGTTAAAATAAACTTAATAACGAAACTTAACTCTCTATCTACTTATTTTATTTTTTCGACCAAATTAAAAAAAATAATATTTAAATATCTATTTATAAATTAAATTTCTATTAGAAATACACTTGGGATAAGATCGCAAAGTGAAATAAACCCCACAAGAATAAGTTATGAAATAGTAGGGTATTCCTATTTTTATTCAAATTTTTGAGGACGAAAATTATTATAAGGTGGGTAGAATGTAATGACCGAGAAAATTTTAAAATTAAATAATGTAATTTACATATTTAAATCAAGAATTTTCCTAGAAAATATCATGTTTGATTAAGAGATTTATGGAATTAATATTAACATTACAAAATTCTATAGTAAGTTTCAAGTTAAATTCACTTTTCGTGATCAAACAGTTCGGTTAATAATTTTCACTGCGATTTAAGGCGGAAAGAATTTTAATCCAAAATAACTTAAGAATTTTAATTGGAAGAATTTCTAAGTATAATATAGTGTTAGCAGTGTACTGAGAAACATTTAAACACTCAAACAGTCCTTAATTGCCAAATTAGTTAAACCAGATTTACGCAAAGCATTTTCGATAAAAAAATGCTATCCGAGCTCATAAATTGACATTGTTAGTAATTATGTCATTTTCGAGGTAAAATGCAGAAAAGTCAAGTTAAGATTTTAATTAGTCTAAAATTAATTTTTTTAGACTTAAAACAATCCGATTGTAAACACACGAATTAGATTTGAAATTGGTATTAAATTACTCAGAGATTAACATCAAACTATAAGTAGTAGATTAATTCATGTCAGCTAAATTAATTACCTCTAATTAGTATAAATTTTATCTATTTAAAAGAAATCTTTGGAAATAAGATTAAAGGACAAGATTTAACACTCATTTAACGTGGTAGGTGAAAGAATTATTAGATGCTTTCCATTTCTCTCTCATTCCTTACATTTTCATATCACTTTCTCTCTCTCTCTCTCTCTCTCTATTTCGTTCGCCATTCACAGCCAAAGCACTCTGATGAGATTTGGGTGTCCGTTTTTGACACCTCCTACACCAATAGAAAGCCCTCGTCGAGTTGAGCTGGGAATGGTGTCATGCAGTCGCCAACTCCTCTGAACGAAGTTGCACTCGCAGGCCAAAGTTTCAAAAATACCCATTTTTTTTATGTGATATCTTCGCCATCCGACCTCCAATTGAGGTGATTCCAGTATCTATGGACTCATATTAATGAGACGAACAAAGCCCATGCCGCCTCGTCAATTCTCACCGGAGTGCCATCGCCGAAGCCACGATGCTCGCCGTTATCCTCCTTCCAGCCGCCGTTTTCAACACCGCTGGTGTTAATGGACTCAGAGAAGAACGCTGAGCAAAACTCCTATGCCAATTTCATTATCTCGTAGCCGTTTGTCGGAGAATAGAGCTTGCCACCGTTGTGGTGTAGGGTGGTCCTGACGATCTAACTGTTGGATCGTCATGATTGTGGTCTCAAAATGCTCAGAAGATCATGGGTAATGAAAACCCTCAATTAATTTCATCAATACATTGCCTGAGGATCAAGATCCAAGTTGCCGAATTTCGCTGAAGTTGACGTTTTCGATCTAAGTAGATAGAGGCTTAATTTTATAAAATTGAGTCCGCCATTGAACTTAGGAGGTTGAAAATGGGTGGGAGCTGAAGTTTCATCGCTGCCTGATCACCATGCATCACCGCGGGTAGTCGACTCCAGCAAGTGTCTGTTATTAAATTAGTTAATTAATTATCAACTTAGCACGAATTTGTAAAGACACTTAAGGAAGACAGAATTATGAGGATTTAATTAATCCTTATAATAGAAATTACAAATTTTTACGATCCTTAATAAAAAGGATAAATACGTTATAAGAGAGGATTTAATTCGTTTATGACTATGCTAAATAAAAATAGCATACTAAAAATTAACCTCACCCTTTGAATAGGCATTCCTTTACAGAACTTAGCAGTAGAGGATAAAAGATCTGGGTGAGTAGAGAATTCTGCTTTAACTAGAAACCAAGTAAGTAGGAATCTCGCCTACGGCATAAAAACTACGTTTTTAAAACCAAGATGTTTTTACCTGTTTTGTAAGAATTATGGAAATGCATGATCAATATTATGCCCTGATATGCGATGTTATGTCACGGTATGCTATGTTATGTCATGATATGTTGTGTTAAGAAATGCCATGTTGTGTCTTGATATGCTATGCGAGTTGTTATGCCATGTTGTAAGAATTGACATGCTATGTCATGATATGTTATGTTGAGAAATGTCAATCTATGACTTATGATGCTGTATGTTATATGAGATATACAAATTCAATTATATTTGTGTACTCACCTCATGATAAGTATGATTATGTTTATGAATGTGATGTTATGTAGTAATATGTCAAATTGCATACACACAATAAGATAAGTGAAACAAAAAAAGTTAAGAGTGTCGTATCAACCTCTCGACTTAAGGGGAGGCTCATGTTCAAGTTCAATTCTCTCAACCTAAGGGGAGAATTCAAGTCCTCTCGACCTAAGGGGAGGCACTCATGTTTCAAGATCACGGTGTTGTTGGGACCTTACACACCCCAACTTCCCGATGATAGCGCACAATTGGTACGAACACTCGGGCCCACCATGTTAAGTAAGACAAGATTACTAAATTCTTAAGACATGTTCATAATGAAGCATAATTGGCTCATACATATTTTCTTAAATGTTTTTAAAGTTGTGTTTTGCGAGAATGATTTCTTACTTGCTGAGCGAAAACTCATTCAGATATGTTCATGCTGTAAGTAAGAAACCTATCAGCAATTCTTGAAGGGCAGTGGTGAGCGCAGACAAATGGTGTAGATGGGTATGGATACCACCACGAATAAATTTTCCACAATAAGTTTAAATAAAATCATATATTTATGATTCATGAGATTCAAGTATATATGTTTGTATGTTATTGAAGACCGATGTTATAATTATACAACCTTAGTTTAGAAAGGTTTTAAGAAGTATTTAAATACGACTTTATAACAATTTCTTATTTAAAATCGTCTTAGAAGATTTTAATTTAAGTTACGAAATGTTTCATGAATTATTATTAATATGTTTTACGAAAATAATAAGTTGTGTATATATAGATGATTCAAAGATTTCAAGTATGTATGTTTGAAAAGTATATATATATATATTTGTTAAATATAACCGAGGTTATAGCTAACAACTTTAGTCTCGAGTATTTAAGTTTTAAAGACGATTTAAATTATTGATTTCGAAAAGACTTTAAGAGTACTTGAATTTAAGATTTCTCATGAAATTTGGTTCAAAGTTATATTAGATGGTTTGATTGAATTGACTAGTTTTAGAAAGACGTTTAAAGAGTATTTGAAACAAGAGTTCAAATGCCATTCAATTTGAAATATATTTTAGAAGATTTTATTTTAGTTGAAATTAAGAAAAACTTTAAGAAATTTAATATTTCATTTTAGAAAAGTATTATTACTGTTTATGAAATTATCCCTTCTTATACTTTAAGTATTGTTTAAAAAAAAAATTATTCCGCTATTTGAAGTAATTTAAGTTTAAGAACATGTTAAGTATGTTTAAGTTGACAGCCATGTAGGAAAGTCGTCACAAATGCATTCTCATATATGCACTCATGTCATACACCCTAATACATTTTCTAAACATTTAGAACGTTTATCGTATTATGCTTTCTTTTCTTTCATTTCATATTTCGTTACAACTTCCATTCTTGTGTCATTCGTTCTTATAACTTTTACTTCTTATGGGTCCTATTCCTGTTGTACCGTTGCGCACATACCTAATGAGGAGAAGCGACACAAAACCAACTCACTCACGGTTTCATTTTTAATAGCCTTCCTTGCGAAGACCTGTACAAACAGTTTTATTAACTTCTTATCTTTGATCATCTTTTCTTCATACATCGTATTATTGTCATATTTTCTTATCATGATAGTAATTTTAATCTTATTAGTGCGTCTTTAAGCACTTCTATCAATTACTTACTTAATTTGACTTTATTTAAAAGTTTGATTTTTTGTTGACTTTGACTTTAATTTTTTCGCAGATTAAAATTTTACTACTACTTTAAGTCCATAAGCACATTCATCGCAGCAAATAAGATTCACGAAATATCATTCACATATTAGCATACATTGAACTTACAATATG